CTTATGTAGCAAGCACTGTCTGTCTTCACTAGGATATACTCATCAGAAAGCTATGACAAGAAAAAAATCAGCTAATTAATTCACAGCTTACATAAGGTAGATTTGTTCAACACAACACAATAAAAGTACTAGCTGGCATTTTGCATTCTCAGATACAAATCTGTAATGGCTGCACAGCACCTTCCTTAGCACCTAACATTAAAAAATAAAAGATCCCCTCTGGAGATCTGTGTTAAAACCCATTTGTAGTTCATAAGAGAAAATGGTCCAAAGGTCACATCCCAGGTCTCTAGAGAACTCAGTGCTGGCACCAGAGGGTTTTCCAGGACTAGACAAGACTGGCAATGTGCCTGCACCAAAAAAGCCTGCAGATGGTTGCCAGGGGTGAGGGGAAGAGAGAAGTGTGTGTATGTGGTTTGAGGATTTTTTGGTGTTTATTCTTCGGGTTGGTTTGTTGGTTTTTCTTTTTTTTTTGGGGGGGGGGAAGGGGATGCTAGGAGGGTGTGGTGTTTTGGGTTTTTTTAGTTTCTTTTGGTTTATTTTTTAAGTGGTGAGGGCTGGGTAAGACAAGGAAACCAATTAACCCCTGGGACTCCCTCATGAGATCATGAGGAGGATTAGGTCTAGCACAGTCAGCTCTTACTTTACTGCCTCTCTGTAGCCTTCAGTGTGGGGACAGGGAAAGGAGTACTCAGATGGACTTACTTTTACAGCTTTCTCTCTCTTTTTTTTTTTTTAATCCTGAAAAAACAAAGATCCTTTTAATGCCACAAACCTGCAATTTCCATGCAGATTAAGTTGTTCAGCCTACTTGCATCTATTAAGTCACATATATAAAATCTGATTTAAATGAGAGTTTCAAACTGCAACTTCTGCTGTGAAACAAAACAGATGAACAAATGAACACTCAAGAGTGTGACTTTCAATCAAGAAACTGGAAATACTAGGCAGTGCAACTCAGAGCTGATCTTTACCAGTGCCTATGGAAGTGCTGCAGTACAGACAGCCAGCTGGTTTTCCTCCCTTCCACTTGCTACACTACAAAAATAAGTCAAAACAAGCTCTTATATGTGAACAGTGACAGAAAAGAACACTGTTCATAGAACTGTTTCAGCTAAGTTCTGAGACTGCAGAAGAGAAAGGGGGTACCTGCAAGACTAGGAAGTGGAGAGAAAATGTAAGATACAGCACAAAGCCACAAACAGAAATTATATAATTGTATTCTAGAGAGATGGATAAAATTATCAAAAAGTCTGACCAAATTATTCTTATATACTTGCCTTAAACATTCTAAAAAGTACTGTGAAGTTGTAGGGATCAGTTTCCTACTCTCTCATATTCAACATGTAAATTGGGAAAAACTTCAGGATAATCAGTTACCTTTAAAACAAGGCAAGGTCAACGGGGGTCCTGGAGAGAGCAGAGTTGCCCTTTTTTGAGCCACCAACACTACCTGCAGCATTGTGTCACAGGACAGGCTTTATATGAGCATCAGCTCTAGCTGCCTGCTTGGCTTGTGAGCCAAGGCTTGTGAGGGGAAAAAACAATGGCAAATGGACATGCTCGCAGTTGAGAACACATACAGAGATGACAGAAGTGTCACCAGAAACACAGTGTAAGAAGTCCTACATTTATATGGCTACTGAATACTCCATATGGCCTGTATTCCTGTAGACTAGATTCTCTCAAGTTTTATAATCTTGAGATATCAATATAGAGGGAGGTCATTACCTTAGTTTTATGGTTTTCTGTCACCAACAAAAAATAAGTAAGTAATCACAGAGCAAACCAGAAGAACTGACCAGGATAAAACCTACTCTCCTGAATCCCAGGCTGGTCCCCTGCCTGCTGTCACTTGCAGTTTAACATTTAGGTACATTTTAATAAGGAATAAGAGAGGCTCTTTAACATACCCAGAATGACTCTCTGTGTCACCAGAATGTCTGTGTTCTTGGACAGGACAGTTCCTGAGAAGGGGGGCCAGATGTCCATCAGGTCTGATGGCAAGGTGGTTAGCTTGTTGCTGGATATGTCCAGGTAGGTGAGGTTTCTCAGGTACCGGCCAGCATCAGCGGGAATGCTGGTCACTTTATTGTTGTGTAAATCAAGAGTCCGTAAGTTGGGCATCTCTGCCAGTGATTCCCAAGGGAAAGTCGAGAGCAGATTACCATCCAGCCGTAACTCATGCAGTAGTTTCAAGTTATAAAAGCTGCTGATATCAATGTTGGCTACGCAGTTGTAAGTTACCCACAGGTACTTGAGATCTACTAGGTAGTAAAAGGCTTCAGTTGGAATCCTTCGTATGACAGTTTTCTCTATTCGAAGTTTTACAGTGTCCACAGGAACATTCACAGGGATTTCATACATGTCAGGATCATTACAGAGTACAGACCTAGCACGAGGGGAAAATAAAAAGGAAAAGGAGAGAGATTTTGGCATTTATTTATCAGAAATTTGAATTTCAGAGTTAAATGCAAATGCTATTGCTCTCTCAACACTACTACCAGAATAAAAAGCACAGAAATGAAGGACAAGACTCTGCATTTAAAAGCTGGAGTCTCTAAAGAGAAAAAAGAACACAAACCAGAAAAGATCCTTCTTTCACATGAAATCTAGATCTGCTTTATTCTAAAGCATGTAAGCACCATCCTCTGTGCATCCCTTCCTCTACTGACAGCTGAAAACCAGAAGCCATTGTATAAGGAATAATGCATGCACGTGTCTCAGGTGGGAACTGCATGCCATCTAATTTACTAGAATTCAAAATATAGGATTACTAATCTAATTTTTCTTTTAATAAAGATTAAAAGCATTTTCTATACTTACCTTTCAGAATAGACTGATAATTCAAAATACACCAAAGCATATTTGAGTAAAGAAGAGCTTTCTTGCCCTCTTTCTGATGTCTGTATACTAATTACTTGCTTTGTAGAGATGCTAAGAACTTTCTGTTACCTATTGATTTCAGTGAAATGGATTTCTCAGCATTTTCAGGTATCAGTCTATTTTCATTTCTTTGGGGTATATTGTTTGCACATACTAGCTTAAATATTCCCTTCCCCTCAGTAAGTCTAATTTTCTCCCTTTTCTCTAGATTCTGCCTCTATTTTAGTTTTTCCTCATGCAGCTTTGTACCAGATAGGCTGTGACAGTAAGTGGCAATGAAAAAGAGTGTCTCCTGAAATTAACATAATACCAGGTCACCACACTTCAATTTAACCTCCTTATTATCAAAAATTACATTATTTACTCCAGATTAAAAAAAAACAAAACCAAACAAACTCTTGTATTTTATTTAAATCAGAACCACAGTAGTTAAGTAGTTTGTACAAGAAATGGAAAGAACAACACAACAGTAAGAAAATCATGGAGCAGAAAGAAATTGCCTTCTGCAAAAAATGAAGATTTAGAGTAGCTACTTGCCAAGCACAAAGCCATAATCACCATCTGCTCCTATTCAGGAATGCTGCTAGCCATAGAACATCAGTGTAAAATAGGTGTTTATTTCAACTATTCTAGAATTACTTGGCAATGTATGTTATCTCCAATTTCTTTGACCCTTTCTCTTATAAATTGCCCTATATAACAAATAATAAAATATATACCTTGTTCCAGTGCCATCACTTCTGCCATGGTAAACGCAATTGCATTGTGAAGGACAGAAACCAAGAACTTCTTCAAAAAAGCTCATTAGGAGGTAGAAGTAAATAAACAGATACATGGCTTCCTCCCAGCAGAACTGACATGAAAAAATTTAAAAACTTTGTTCCTAGGCACTCGTGTGCAGTGTGCTACGAACGTGCATGTAGACATCCATTTAGTAACAGCAGATTACAACAGATTAGCCGAGATCTGTAGTTGCTTAACCTTCAAATGTATCCTGAATGGGATCAGTTAAACCAGCTCGTTCTTCACTCTGTCAGAACACACTCTGCTTCAAATCACATGCAGCGTGTTTTAAGGCTATTTTAATATGTAGCTTGTAGAGCTAGTGTGTAATAAAATAACTCTTTTCTTCTTCTAAGAGGCAGTGCATTAGTTACTGTCTATAAAGCGTTCCCAGGTTCCTGAAGGAAGTCTAGCACACCACGAGGATATTGTGTGGCATTGTCTTTAATACTAAAAATTACAAATTAATAGGAAGCCTAAATTCCAGAGCTTTTAAAAAATCCTGTAAAAACAGGTTTTTGCCAAAAATACACGTATATTTTAAATAAGTTGCACACTGCAAAGCCAAACTTGAGACGCACACATACATAATACAAGCTAGATCTATACAGTCATCTTCATCCTGAATAAATCCATTGCTCATATTGCCAAAGGTATTTCTTGAAAATTACACATCAGACCTATATAACCAAAAGATTGACTTAAGAGTGATGAGAAATTATCATAAACATTCACTCAGTTTTATGTGCTTCCAAAATGTGGAGCTTTAGGGTATATTTTGTCTCATTTTCAGGATTTGCTGTACAGTCACAAGCACTAGAAACATGTTACTAACAAAACAAAAAAACAACCAAAAACAAAACAACAAGAAAAAAAAAGCTGTCTTTCCTACAAATTAATTTGGTTCTATGAGTCAAAATTTTAAAAGTACTTTAAATATCCTGAAACTCCTTCGAAATCCTAAAAGCTGGTAAAAGATTCTATAGAGTTTGGCTAGGTATTTTGACATCCTAACATATTCACAGAACTTTGCAAAGCATAACAACATGGATACTTGGTATAGAAATATACAGCCATAGGGAGAATCCAGAATATTTCAAGTCTGGAAAACTTTCAAGGAAAGTTGGTGGAAAGTAATTCATGAAAGGAATTACAAATGTAAAAATCTAAGGTTACTGAACCTAAGCACCTCCTGCTTCAGTCTCTCCCTGCCCTTTTGTCACCTTGCCCAACTCTGCAAAAGTCACAGAGGCCTTTTTTGTCTGGGTGAATAAACCTCACTCTCAAAAACTAAAGTCTTAGCAGGTTTTGTCTTTCTGTCTTCTTAACTTATCTAAAAAGATTACTGTGACTAACAAAAAACAGCTGGCTGGGGCAGATTATTATTCCAAAAGATTAATTGTCCAAAAGATTAATTAGCTTTAACCCAGATTTCACTCCTTTCCACGTAATTTATGCAGGCAAATGACAGGAGCTCTACGATGTCAATGCACTTTGCGATACACTCATGGGCAAAGCATTGTTTATAGTTATCTCTTGTCTTGTCTGACATCGCACCATTGCCAGGATCGCCCTCCGAAACCTGTGAAGGACAAGAAAGGGAAAACAGAAATATCATTAGCTGGAGAACCAAATGCAAAGGAAAGCTGGGTAAGATAGCCCTAATTATTACAATATACAATTTTCAAACTCACTTAATAAAAAATGTGTATTTGGAATTCAAAAGGATATGGGTCTTTTTCACTTCCATGTACAGGAATGTGCAGTTAATTTCAGTGTTTCTTCTTCAACAGGGATCACAGCAGCTTTTGCTTATCCCAGGAGAGGGTACAGCCATGACAAAGAAGAACTTACAGAATGGGGAAAAACCCAGATGTTTTTTCATTGATTCAGCATGGTCAGGTAAGTTCACCCAGACAGAGATCACAGGCTCTGCTTGAAGGTTGGTAGCAGAGAAAGGAAGGATGCCTCTTTGCAAAACCCACCACTCAGTCAGAGGCACTGGCTTGATTAGAGCATGCATTATGCTTGCTCAAATTAGAATAGGCTTAACCTATTTAATTTAATGAAAAGGGTCAATCCATCTTAATAACTCTCAATATGATACATTTAAAATCAAACAAGAAAATCTACACAAGTAACATGGCACTAAGCCACACAGATTTTGGCCACAGTCATTGAAACCAGTCTACCAACCCAAATTCCACATGAATCCTCTTGAGAAAAGACAAAGGGATTTTCAAAACTATTATAAAAGCTATGTTAATGTTTTCTGAAAAATATTTATTAATTCAGTATATTCTGATGATGATCAAAACAATTTATTTTAGACCAAAAGGTCATCTTTGGCAAATTAACAGTGGCTTACCCTTTGCTCTTTACCAGTTAGTCATATTTTACAGGTGATCCTTCTATAGTCAGATCGATATGCTAAAATCATGACGTAGATTGGTACTATTTTAGGAACACTTACTTTTTGTTTGCAATGACATAAATACAGGGATTATAGAATGTGGAAGATTTTGCAAAAAGAGGAGCTATTATGGCCATTGCAGGAGAAATTTTCTTTGGGTCTCCAAAGGAAGACCATAAACACACAATAGCATATGGAGACCAGGCCATCAAGAACATTAGAATCATCACAACAGACATCTGCAAAACAAGAGGAACAATAACGATTATTACCTCAAGGTGAAGACCCCATAACATAACTGCATAACAAAAGCATATGCACCTGTGTGAAAATAGATCTATCCTGAATGAAATAATATATGAACAAGCACACCTGACACATTTTGACAGGTTACAATGAAATCTCACTTTAATAGCAGGAGATTTAATAGTACACTTCACTGACATGTATCTGGCATCCTGTCATTTCATTACATACAATCTTCCTTTAAAGTCAGTGCTACTGATTATGTTGAATTTCTCCATCAGGAGTTTAGATGACGAGAGAGGACTTCACACACGAATTATGACCCCCATAACAGGTCACTCTGGGATGCTATTACAAACAATAAATATGAACAGAGAGAAAAATATAAGCCAAATGTTTAATTAGGCTGTTAATGAAAATATTTCATAAAGCTTAATTATGGTACAGTTAAATAAAAGAAAGTAAATGTTCTAGGACATATACTGAAAGAACCCAGAAGTGTCTGCTTGGTTTAATGAAAAATTCTAGCCATGTTTAAGTATCATACTGAGGAGACATCTGATATTCATTGCCTGCCTGTCAGAGAGAACAATCAGGGCATGGTGGGGCTCACACACCAGGACACAACATACCATAGATAAACCTGAACGGTGACAAACTGTGGTAGTGGAGGAGAGGTATCAACTGAGACAGACTTTTCTGGCTTTTGTTACGGACATGAATCAATAATAGAAACTGGAATGGAAATCTCAAATCAAGAGGACAAAACAAACCACTAGAAAACCAAACAAGACTGCAGGGCTCTTTTTATGTACAGGATTCCCTAGTGCTGTTTACCTCTACCTTATTCAGTCTTTCAGTGATGAACAAAATGAGAAACAAGAAGTAAACAGCTAGTTTGTATGAGCTGTTCTAGAGTACAGCCAACAAATAAGCAGTGACTCTCTCACAGAAGATTCCTATTTAAATACAGATGCAATACCCATTGATAATAATGTTAGACAGAACCCTTTTATTTAGAATTTTGGTGCATAGAAAGCTTAGAAGATGCTCATTTGTGAAAAGCAAGCAGTCCACGTCAAAAGAAGGATACTGCTTAACTCCAAAGCTTCAATCTGTTTTTCTTTCTAAACATAAGTTCATGTCTTCAAATGCAAACCTGGAAAAATGCATTTTCTTCACAAACATGAGTCTAAATTTTTAACTGAATCATCCGTTTCAAGCTTTCTTCATAAAAATTCTTCATAAAAGAAAATTTTCTTTCTTCAAAAATTCTTCATAAAAGAAAAATGCTCAATTTATTCTTTTTAGGTAAAAATAATATTTTCAGAATTTAGCAATGAGAAAGTTTTCTAAAGAATGTTAAGTTTGCATTGATAAGGAACTCAAAAACATAGGTACATACTCTTCTGTCCCGTTCTCTCTCACTTTTTCATCATGCCCAACCATCAATCACATCTTTGCACAAAATCAAAGGAGCTAGTGAACTTCAAGATTTCTCAAGGACTTTTGTACATTAAAAGAATGTCCACCTTCCAGGCAGGATACCTCATTTCATGTCATAACTCCCATTTGCTACTGTTTACATAAGAAAGAGATAAGCTCAATAGACTGAAAAGAACAAGGGATTGGAATCACACAGCTTGAGTGCTAGAAATGCACTTTCATTCCTAGGTCACCAGTTCAAATCAGAGTTGACCAATCCATTTCAGACCAAATACAACTGTGAACTGAGCAGAAAGCTTAAGGACTCTGCAGACACAGAGAGTAAAAATTCTTCTAGGGCACCTCTGAGGTACGTTTCTGGGGAATGGCAGAGGGCAGAGGCAAGAAAAATTCATAATGTTCCCAGCCTTCAAAGTAGCTATTCATCTGGAAAGAGTATTAGACCAGAAGTAAAGAACCTAATATTAAAAGTCAAGAGTTTTCCCCAAGGCTCAATTTCAGTTATTATTTAGTATGACAGAAAAGGGAGAATGTAGGAAACAGAAATGCTTAAAAGGCTGCACTGTTCCTTTGCCCCCAAGACTTTAACACAGAAGAAAGCATTTAAAGAAACTCACACACTCATTTACCTTTGTCACATCTACTTGGTCAGACCAATCTATGTTAATGCTCTCCAGGCAGTTACTGCTGGCATATTGTTTCATTGTCCGGGAAACATTGTAATAACAGTAAAACATGACTGTTAAGGGCACAACAAAATTAACAGCAATTACACTCATTGTGTAGGAAACAAAGGACCTGATAAGACAGAAAAACAAAACAGAGTAACTTACAAATAGCCATCCAGGAAAAGTTGCTGAAGAATTTGGTATTTTCATTGGATTAGGAAATTTTGTAACAAGCTTTTAAATAATAAGGGAATTTGTCTCTAGCTTTAATGTTTTTATTAGCAACTACAAGTCTTGCAGTTTTGAAGCATGGCTCAATTGCTATGGTTTCTCTTTTTTTCTAGACTTGCTCTATGTTATTTCCATTGTTTTAAATTATTTTTAAAAATTAGGTTTCATACTTCAGAGAGAAGTTATCCTCATATAGTGGTGGATTAAATAATCTTAGACTTAATAAGACAGCAAAGTTAAAAAAAAAGAGTGAGGGGGAATCTTACACATCATTGTTCCTCCAATTTACTGTGCACGTTGCTCCAGTTGGATCCGGAGCGTAGCTAGCCCAGCCTAGAACGGGCATGGAAGCCCATAAGACTGCATTTATCCAAGCAGCAAGGATTAGAGCCGTGTAGCTACGGGTAGTCATTCTTCTTCCTGTGGCCAAGCACATACAATCACAAACAGCTGTCACCTATTGCTTCTTTCCAGTGTCAAACTAGACTGATAAGTGGTTCCCAGTAAGCACATAATGGGTTAATAATGACCCTTTCAAAGGTTTACGCTCCCAAACACTGTAGCATACCTGTTTCACACTGCTGACTATCTCAATCTTTCCAGCCTTTAAAGCCACTTAAATACCATTACCCATTCCAACTCTCAGCATACAGGCAATACCTGATCCTGACCCCACGCCAAAAAGCTTATTATGCAACAGTGCATTCAAGTACATCCTTAGAAGTACAATCTTAGAAGATTGCAGAGGCAGGAATTAACTGTTGCAATACAGCTGCGGCAGAGCAGAGAAAAACACTCCCTGTGGTGTTAACACAACAGTAGAGGCACAGGACAGCTTGCCAGACATCAAAACCTCCCAAAGCTAGAGGCTTTTTGTGCGCCTCTGTATGAGGATGTAGCCCTCTAAAGACTGAAAACAGCCGTGAAAATATAACTTACAAACAGAGTAACAGCCTAATTGTGAATTTTTTGCTTTCTCAAGCAGTACCATCCACGCCAATTGGATAACTTACTTAACCAAGTACTGCAGGTTCAAATTATGCCCAGCGCTGTAATTATGGAGTCATTAATGAGAAAATAATAAAATCAAATCAGACTTTTCTTTCTTAGAAGACCAACAGTGAATGATTTTTGACTGTAAGTACAGTACCTATATCGGGCCTGCAGATTGTCAGGTAACGGTCAACTGCAACAACAGTGAGCAAACCAATACTCGCCATCCCAAAAAAGATATTTAAGGCAGCATAGATCTGGAATTAAAAGAAACAAACAAGAAAGTCCTTCCTGAGAAATCTTTCAAAAGTAAAAGCACAAATTTGTGTACTGAATCAAAGGCATTACAGCACATCACATTCAGCCAGAGTTCTCTTCCATAAGCAATGTCTTGAAGGAATTAATTCTATGCAGGCAATTCGAAGCTGGCCCATTCAAAAGTAAACATTTCAAAAGCAACCTGCTTGTGTGCACATCATAAATCCTAAAGGCAGAAGTCTCAAAATCAAAGAAACACCATACTTCAGTAAGTACATTTTGAGATTCAGAGTGTGGAAGTGTTCACTTTGTGTTTTCAATACATGTTAAAGAAACCTAAAAACCTCTCGGTTCACCAAAAAGAGTTACAGCTTTAGCAGATGGGAGGTTCTGAATTATTAGTCTTTCATCTGTTGTATAACTACACTTATTTCACAGAAATGGCACACTGATTTACCCCCTCAGCCCCCATTTCTGTGTGTGTCAGATCTACTGCAGTGACACATGCTTCAATCCCAGCATGCTCCATATACATCTGCCCCATCATCCCATGGGAAGCCTGACCAAGAAGGATGACAGGGAGGGCTCTGTTACCACTGGCACCCCAGAAACACAGAGCCCTGAGCCAGACTACATGCCACCAGCAGCTATAATAGGATCACATGACATTCAGCCATCTCAGATCATCAGATTCATTTGGTTTAGGTTGACATGAGCTGTGCTTCAAGTGATCTTAACTCTCAAAGCATTGGCAGTGAGATTTCACATCAGCATGAACACACTACAAGTCAGTCCCGATCCAAATATGTTGCAATTGAAGTTTCCTGTCAAAAACAGTGACTGAATTTTGAGCTTGAAGCAACCGTCTACAGAGGCAAGTGATGTCAGATTGTTATAAGCATCCACTATATAAATGTCCAAAATGTATAGTCTTGCTAATGTTTGCCTTGAGACATATTTTCAGCATATGCCTTCACATTATTACTCATCTTCCTGGGCACTTAGGCCAAACAGCTTATCAATAATGTAAATTTAAATCCCAATACACAGTGAGCGAAGGGCATCATCTCTCTGCTATGAAAGTATAATTTTCCCAGTCAGTCTGTTCTTAAAAATAGATGGCTATTAAAACTAGGCTAAGTCTTTAATGGAGACTAATAGACTTGCAGGCCTTCATTTTGGATATCCTAATAGTCCTATCCAAAAGAACACATATTTGCCAAAGAGAACTCATTAGACTGTTAAGATCATCACTGAAACATTAGCTACATTCAAAGTCTTTTAACTATCAAGTAAGTCATCAAATGTGCATGTGCTACTATAACTGCCTTCATTTTCGGATTTGATTTTGTAAGCCTTCTTAAAGCTAATTTAAAATCTTTAGTTGATAGATACAAGGTCCCTACTTTAATGTGTACAGATTATAAGTTTAAAGTAAAATTCATATGAAACACTGTCTCCAGAAACTGTTGACATTACAGAACATTGCCTTGAGGTCTACAGTCAAATTCTGCATCTCCATTTTATCTCTTTAAAGAGCTAACACCAAGTAGAGCTACTACTTATTTGTCAGTTTGCTTTTAAGTGCCCAAAATTTTCTCTCTCACTGAACTGCAATACCTGGCATCCAGTATATCCAAATTTCCAGCTTCCGTGCAGGTCTGAGGCAGCAGACATGGGGTAACCAATGCTACTAACACCAATGTCAGTAAAAGCCAAGTTGATAATAATTGCATTGGTTGCTGTCCGAAGCTCTCTGTACTTAACAAAGATGCCTAACACCACGATGTTACTGAAAATGCTTATCACTCCTGTGAAAACAGAAAAAGGGAAACTTTACAAAAGATACACACCAGCCAGTAATACACATGCAGAAGAAAATGCAGCCTATTGTAATATATAGGTCCCAAATAAGCAAGTCAGTCAGGTGCAATTTTGCAAGGAGGATAGACACCTGAAAAGGAGAGAAAAGCTTTTCCAATCAGGCAACTTTCACTTGGATTCAGTAAGTGCCAACAGTGAAGCATTTGCCAGACTTGGGACTTTCAAAGCAATGACAAAAACCACAGCAGAAATTCAAATGCATCAGGGGCAACCAAGCATAGATGCTGGCTTGCATGATAGATAATAATACATGGTGATTGGAAAAAAATGGGGGAAAGAAATGGTACACCTAATCTAGCAAAAGGCCCCTGCCAACACCTGAGGTCTTCCATTCTCAGCAGGTAGTTTCCACTTGCATTCAGACAATAATCCTGGGCAAAAGGGATGTAGAAGGTTTGACTTTGGTATCACTATTCTAGCCAGACTAACTCCTCTCTCTGCTCATGAGGTCCCAAAGCTTTGCCAGCCTCAGAGTTGGCTCAGGTTGCTGCAAACTGTATTTTCTAAGCTTTGTCAAGCGGTCTAGGTGATTCGCGCAGTCTGCCACAGTGCCATGGCTGGGCCTGCACCAGAGCTATTTCCTCTACCTGACAAGCTCTAGGGCTGTGTCATAGCCATGGGAAAAGTCCACCTCAGGACTGAACTTGCTTCTGCTTCACTGACCTCTGCATTTTTAAACCTTTTTGGTCTGGCTTGACTCAAACTGTGTCTGAAATTTATTATTAGATAACACCACGAATGGCCAGAAGTCAAAGAGTTGTAACAAAGTACTAAAACAGTACTAAAGCTAAAATGTACATTCTCGTCCCTTCACATTCAATCCCTATGAAATTTGCCTTGTACATAATGCTCTTCAAGGATATTCTTCAGGATTCCATGCACCAGGAAGCTTTTTCTGATCCTGGTGATCCTATATTAAAGTGTCCACAACCTCCTTTTCTCCTGCCATTCCCCCTTCCCAGTCAAATCCTACTGCATGACTCTTGGAGCAGTTTACATGGCATTTCCACAAAACATTTTTTTTTATGGTTGTGGTTTTATTCTTTTCAGACTCCAGCCAGTTTTAGAGATATCCAGAGCAAATTCTCATCCTCTAAATTTTTACCAACCCAATATTAATACAAGCTTTAATAAACAGTAAGGTTAAATACTCTACCTTGCACCTCAGCAGAGACAGACTCACAGCCCTTACCAATACAATGAGAATTCAAACATGTTCAAGCAAAGACAGACATTAAAAAAATAACTGGCAAACAATAAGAGGAATTTGTAAGTTGTTCACAGATTCCCTAGACTGGCACAGCTTCTACCATATCACTGAAGCAAATACTAAACTTACAAAAGTTTTTATAGCCTGGGCACCTTAAATTGCCAAGTGAATGTTGGAATGTTATATTGGTAAAAATCTAATAACACATAATTCATGGCAATGCCTCTCAGAATTTTTGTTTTGGTTTAGTATTTTGTTTGGTTTGGTTTGTTTTTATCTTAAAAGTTTCATCTATGTATTGAAACACTATAGTTTTCATCATCATTGATCTGAGGCATAATTCTGTAAGGAGCTTGAGTGAGTGGCTGTCATACTGAATGAGGACTTCCACAAGCAGATCCATCTTCTTTCACATTTACCTTGGTACCTTTTTTATTACACCTGAAACTCATATAAGAATTTTCAGTGCAACATTTTATTAATCAGTATCTATCTCCTACATTAAATAAATTCTCTCATCAGATTCAGTAATTTTAAAATCAAATGAGGCAAAATTAAAATTAACTCTTGGCTATCCCTTTTAAAACTACCAAGCATGTCTGTTCTCAGGTGCAAGGCCTCCTGTTGGAGGTCTAACATCTATTGACCACACAGATGCCATCAGCTATCATATTCATATATCCACACATTTTGGGAATGACACTGTGATGCCATGTGCTCCTAAAATTAACAAAAACAAGATGCTGAGGATCTGATCTGAAATGAACACCACAGTAAAAAACACTCACAGTGCCAGTTCAGGCAGCTCTTCTGTTGACAGATAGTATGTCGTCTCTTGGGAGAGAGGTAGCAAAAGGGAATTGCAAGATCATAAAATAGTACAGGCTTCTTATGAGGTATGCTTTAACAGATATGACAGCTATCAAGAATGAAATCAGACATACAAGAAGACTGTAAGCTTATATCCTCAGGGTGAAGGAAAGATCCTGCTAGACACACTTAAATTTAGTGATTCAGAGTCCAGTCTTAATTTTAAGGAGGGAGAGGGAATCAAAACAAATCAAAATAGGGAAGAAAAAGTGGAAATTACTAAGCCTATATTAATTTAAAATGTTAGTGTCACTTAAATTATTAATATGAAAAAAATGCCTTGAGGAGTAAAATTTAAGGCTGAGGATGGATTCAACTGGAACAAAATGAGAAAAAAACCTCTAGATATAAGAAATGCTCTCTTCTCTGTTTCTGAGAATCAGGTCAAGTAACTGAACAAAGTTTCAACAATTCCAGCAGTTAAGCAGTGCCCATTAGAAGGGCAGTAAAGGTGGTGAAAGGACCAGAGAAGAAGTCTTATGAGGAGTGGCTGAGGGAGCTGGGGGTGTTCAGTCTGGAGAAGAGGAGGCTCAGGAGGGACCTTAGTGCTCTGTACAACTACCCGAAGGGAGGGTGTAGTGAGGTGGGGGTTGATCTCTTCTCCCAAATAACAAATGATAGGGTGAGAGGAAATGGCCTCAAGTTGCATCAGGGAAGAGTTATTTTGGATATTAGGAAAAAATTCTCCACTGAAAGGGTTATCAAGCATTGGAACTGGCTGCCAAGGGAAGTGGTTGAGTCACCAGCCCTTGGAGGTATTTGAAAGATGTGTAGATGTGGTGCTTAGGGACATGGTTTAGCGTTGGACTTGGCAATGCCACGGAGTAGCATCAAAACAACGAAGGTTAAGTCCACGTTTAACATGGAATTTACCAGTTAGCATTTTTAAATGATACCAGAGCATTTCAGCACTACATGTAGAAAGATAATCCATGAGGAAGTATTGCTTCCAGTATCCCTGTTGTCATCACAAAAATTAATGTACTAACCACTGTAGAGTGCAATACTTAACAATTACTTCCTTCTTAGAACACAAAAGAGAGGCATTCAAACCCTTTAAAAAGCAGCATAATGATGAACACTGGATCTGGACTTCATCCTTATTCTTAGAATCTGCTTATTAACACGGTTTAAATTTTCCAGATGTGAGATTTGCTGAGGTAAGGCATTTGCAAAGCAATCAATCATACTTTCAAATATGTTATAGACCTTACTGTCAAAAACACTTCTCATTAAGAAAGTAAAGTGAAAGATTTGCTAGACTATCCCAACTATAATAATAAAAAAAAAATTAAAACAACCCAAAACCACAAAGTAATCCAATTTTTTTTTTCTAAGATATTTAATTACCATGCAACATTAAGAAAGAAGAGCTGGGTTGGCTAATTCCATTGACACCCTATGATCACCTATGATAACTTTGATCCCTAACACCAGGTGGTCAAAACTATCTGAAAAGATCATCTTGTCACATACAATATAATCAATTTTAATCAAAATATAACAAGCATCATACTTATTTGCAGCACCTGATAGAGCGTTATCTGCAAATAGTGTGACAGTGTTGCAGAGTATATTTAGCCTTCCAATAATTGATAGTTATTCATCTCTACAGCTTCTTAAAAATGTCTACTGATTTGTATACTGTTCTATAAATTTCTCTAAAGACCTGAAATAAATTATTGTCTTTGCATCCAAAAATATCCTCCTTACCAGAACAGCAATTTTATACTCACCACTTCAGACATATATGCTAAATAAAATGTGACCATCAGCAATATTATTTCATATAAATGTAAATTAATAAGTATTTTAAAATCTAACTATAACATACAAAATTTATGGTAGTCTAATAATAAAATATTGGTAAACTGCCTTGATTTGCTGTAATAAAGGTACAGAAGGCCTGTTTTTAAACACAGTAGGTTTCAGGTTTTGGTTAGGTGGATATTTCATTGCTATAGCACTCAATGCTTCATAAAAGCACTACTGAAGCAGTTGTAGTTACACAATGAGAAAGTTTTCAAGGTGGGGGGGGGAATAATTCTATAATCATTTAGCCAAAGACCACTGAAGTCACAGGCCCTAAAGTGTGTTTTTCTAACATATGTCATTGGTGAAAAATACAGCTGCAACTGGAGTCTGCTCTTCCCTGATTAATGACCAGCTCCCTCCCTCTAAGTCACATTCCAACCCTTCCCCTTACATCCCCCTAACAGACACCCGCTCACATGCTCAGACTGCACATATATTACTACGAACATGTGGCCCAGGAGAAATCTCAAGATAGCTTCAAGCACATCGCAGAAAAATGCAAGATGTGACAGCTATGCCCTATTTTTATCTCTTTTGCAAGCTGGCAGAAATTAATTCTCACTCTCTTCTATAATTACATATCAACAAAATATACTTTTTGAGACACAACACTGCCTTCAAATATAGAGCAGAAAACTTAAGATGTTTCTGCGGACTTCAGATGTTTCTGCATATTTCAGTCAGGCAGCTGATTGCTAACTTGTCAGTAAATACGGAGAAAAGCCATCAGAGAGTTGTCTAATACAAAATGAAATACCATCGCTGTTACTATACAAAATGAGCATTCAGATACACAAGTTCTACTTTAAAAAGTTACACAACAATTTGCCAATGCCCATACCTGCTGTTATTAAGTAAGCTGCAACTATGTTGTGCTCAGTCTGTGTAAAGGCTGAATGAGCTTCATTGTCACTTTCTGAGGAATTGGATGAGTCATTCCAATACATTTTCGACAAAAGTCTGTCGCTTATCCTCTGCAATAATTCATCAAGACGAGGGAACACTACAACCCTGTCAGGCAAATTCTTTCATTATTCAACAGACTCATTGAACAATTAAAAGAAGGGGGGTAGGGCGGAGTTCTCCCCACCACTGACAGCTTCCAAGCACGATTTAATTGGACTAAAGTGGAAAGAACTTTACGCTCCCAATCTAAGCAGGAGATTGTTATTTAAAACAAAGAGCAGCACAGAACTGAGCACATTTCCAACAGTGTGCTTAAACTTCATTCTTACTGCTAAAGAGATTAACTGTCACATGCCCCCAAACTTTTTCCCTCAAACCTCTTGTGCAATGCTTTGGAAATCTCAACAAAAGTTGACTCAGTTCAGTTGATCATCAGCCTGGTTTGGAACTAATTCCCATCATTACAGAATGCACAAAAAACTGCAGTACAACACGAAGACACAAATGTCAGTTTCTTTAAAGAGTAGGAGGTGTTTACTCTAAAGCCCATCCCTTTAAATGTTTAAAGACCTACTTCTTCAAAATGCTTTGTTTGAGTTAAGCTCTCAAGCTGACACAGACACAAGAAAAACACATTCCAGTATTTTCTAAAGTGAAGCATGACTTTCAGAAAATTCAATCGCTACACTTCTAAAATAGCCTGGTCTGCAGAAAATGATTGTTGAATGTGCCTTACAAGCCAGAACACCCTCCCCTCTCCTAAACAAAATGCATGTACGCTTACTTTGGGCAAATTTTCCAAGGCATGTTACCGGGCAGAAATTTACTGGGCATTTTCCAAACACCTAAGCAGCAGAAGGTCACGTTTTTTTCTCTTCAGTGATGAGGTACCAGCACACCAAAGAAAAGACCTTTTAGAAAATCCTGCATAAATATTAGCTGCAATAAATCTCTGCCCAAAGAGTTCATATGCAGTATCAGAACCAGCTGTTTCCCATCAGTCCCACTTCACACAGTTTTTACCTCCAGTTAGTATTCATACTGGGCATAAAAGTGACAAGGATGAGCAACCACTTGTATGTTGTTCACAGGCAGTTCAAGCAGGTCCCAGGCTAGAGCTGTATCTTCTGAGCAGCAACAAGGATGCAGTGATACTGGCAGTACTGAGGAATACAGTCATCCTATAGGAAGGAAGTATACCTGAAGAACTCTCCCTTCCCTAACCTGTCAAACACTCATAGAGCATTCCCTCCCACTCCTCAGCTCTCCAAAACAGACATCCTGCATCTTTCACCCATTTGAATATAAAAGAATATTCTTAGATAAAACTTGTGCAGTCACAACATCTAGTCATCATTACTACACACAATCATGTGTCATAGTTCTACCAGCAAACATTTTCTTAAATGCCCCAGATCTACACTCACTCTTACAGCTCTCAGGCTACTTGTATTATTAGAGTATTTTTCCTGTCACAAGAGGATTAGGCAGGAACAGGGTGGGAGAGATCTAAATGGAAAGACGATCTGTTTGGCAATGAAACCACTTCCCTTGTGCACCACAGTCCTGCCTCAAAAGATAAAAGCATAGTGATAATTCAATATCTTTGCTTTCCTCCTCTGACACTTTGAGTTTCAAAAGCACCTCAGATCTTGCAGCTTCCACAGAAGTCAGAGTTTGCAATGCTGAATGTCTCAGGAAAGCAAAGCATCACTATTTTTATTCAGACAGGATTCCAGACATAGAGTAGCACTTAATGAGACCATAGAAATTTTATACTTGTTGATTAAAACACAACTTTCTGATATGTGCAGTCCATCCTATGTACCATCACATTGTCACCATCTCTTCTTAAATTTGAATAACTTTACAGCAACTGGAATTGAGAGAAAAGTCAAAATTAAAGGCAGACATCATTGACCTAAAAGTACATTTTTTCTACAAAACTGCAGTTCATGAAACAAAGCAAAAAAGATTAAAAAAAAAGGAATTAAATACTGAAGTATACAAATAATCCAGAAAGCTGGAACCACAGTTCCTAAGCCAGTTAAAATATGTCTTACCACACTGCTTATTTATACTGGTACAAGAAAATAAAATCCAAAACCTCAGGGTTGTTTCTATCCTCCAATAACAGATAGATAGTATTACTGGTGTTAGAGGGGCACTTTATAAACTCAGGTGATTCTTTTCCTTCCCAGTTGTTCCAGATCAATAGCAAAACACAACTTCTATTTAAGACCATTCTTCAGTTTCTAGGTATCTCTCTCTATATATGTAAAACTCATCACAGGGTTTAGCAAGCTGCTTTCAGTTATGTGTAAAATGTATTTCAATCCATGAGTGATGAGAGTGGAGAAACATAACTTCTGCATTTAAAAAAAAAAAAAAAAAAAAATTAGAAACCTAAACCAACCCCAACCCTTTCTTATTTTCACCGATAACGAGACTACGAATCCACCCCAAACCCAACCCCTCCCACGTTTATTAAGCAACTACCGCTAGATGGCTCTCTAAGGCAGAACGTCCCTTTTCTTACAGGTGCAAATAGTTAATTCCCATGGAAAACAAATTAGTAACTTGCTTTTTCCCCTCACTCACTGATTTTTACTAGACTTAAACTTTTGTCCAGAAAAGCTTGATTCAAAAGAGATTTTCAGCTGACAGAAGAAAACACTCTCAAAAATACATGACTCCACAAAGCTTTTTACTTGCCCTACTTCACACAGTAGCTCTGCCTCTTTTTTTCTTAGAGACACTACTGGTTTTTGCCAAGACGATGCTTTGCACAACTGCAAATAACTTCGCATCAGTATGTGTGTGACAGTCCAGTACTGCTTCAGGCAAATGTCCATAGCTGTGAGTCAGTGCCAGGGAGAATCCTTTCTGTTCTACACGGGCCAATGCTGCAACATCAATATATCCCAATTATTTTCTGCACTTCATCAAATTTCTCTGACAAAGTAAGACAGCAAATCTTATGAATGACATTGAACCATCCTATCCCAGCAACCGTAGAAAACACAGGGTGAGTAAACATCCCTCCAAGACAGAAAAAAATATAAACCCAGAATTTTGGTGTGGCAAGGACAAAAGGCTCCAGGTCTTCTGAATACCTTTAAACAATCAGATCCTAGTGATTTACCAGCTGTTATTTTCAAAATCAGCCGAAAGCCAGACCCTATGCCTGGGTGGCCAACACATTCATTTGCGGCCACATTTTGAACACAGGACTTGGTCACTGAATGCTCTGGCCCTGCCAACAGCGAGCACGTGCAGACACTGACAAATGGAGGAGACAGGCAGGTGACACAACTACTGCTGTGTCCTGGGTGGGCAGCCAAGCACTGCAACCTACCTGAATTTCAGAGGAATACTGCAGGACAGCAACCTTCTTTGCCCTGCTGGAGCAGGTGTCACGTGAGCTCTTTAGATGACCCAAGTACTTTGTCCCAAATGCTGCCAGTGAGGGAAAATCCAGGGAATACCCGCCATGAAGAGCCTACACTACCAGTAACACCTTACCCCACTCTGCTCACTTCAGATTGCACTGTGACTTTTCCTCCCCAGACACCACAGCTACTTGAAACTTCCCACTTTTGCAACACACTAACTTCTGTTCAGGTACTGGTGAGATTCCCCCTTTCCTATTCTCTGCAGATGCAGCCTAGGATAACAGTAAGCACTGACATAAAAGTGGAACATTCCACTTACTAGGATTAGGAGCACAAAATGACCACATCGTTGGATAGAATTTGAATAAAAATTCAAGACAGAGAGAAGGTGTCATATAAAATTAGAGAACCTGTATTTTAGTTCATTACAGTATTACACTGCAGGGAAGGCCTGTCTTTTAAGAGACTGAATTTTCATCCTTTACAGTTAGCACCTTACATTAGGAGGGCAGGCACAGATGTCATGGCACAGAGAAGACAAGGCAGAAGAGGGACCAGATAAACCTGGCAAACACCATCCTTCCCCACAATGGAGAAGAAAACAAAACAAAACAAAAAAGGGCATCATACGACAAACACAACAGTTAGTTTCCTCATATTCACACCCAATCACTGAGGACATTCTTATATCCTAACACCCTACAACCTCCCAAAAGATCTAAGATTATAAATTTTCTCCGTGTATTATATATAAAATTCATCCAATACTGTATGAACAGGCCATACTGTAACGATCCTCATGTATTTCTCAGTTGGGACTGCAATCTGCCCCTATAACCAGGAGGCCAACCTTCCCTCTAGAGCTGCAATGGATATTGTTCTTTAGCCCCTCTGCACACAGATGTCAAAGCCTTTGCTTCGGCCTCGCAATGCTTCAAGCTGACTCACTGCTCCATCTGCTGAGAGAGTCAAAGCATACACATCTTGTCCTGACCTGCAGGAGGGTGGCACTGACTGTAACCAAACCATCAGCTGTCACACCATGCAATTCAAAAGGGATGGCAGGAGTCTTCTGACACCCCAGGAAAAAGCGTGTCCCTAAAGCATGCAGTGAGAATAGCAAAGCAGAGTATGAATTTGGGTGTAAGAGTGAGGATTGTGTTAAGTTAGCCTTCCAAAGTCAGATGAATAAGGAAAGACAATCATAGTCAGCTACCCAAAACGAGCTACTGAAGCATCAGTGAACACAGCACAGCAGATGCAGCTGCAAATGACAGAAGTACTGACAATTGCAGCTGCACTTGGTCCCTACTGTTCAACTGCAATGTGGTGCGCCTGAAATGCAACAGCTAACTCCTGACGTAGGAATTCACACTTAAGTGAATTCTTTAATACTTTTTTTCCAGCTTGTTTCAAGTTTTGTTCCAGAGATTACTAAAACTAACAGTCACATTTGTTAAAATGACCAGTAACTGTCCTGTCCCAGTGCTGAAAAATTACCTGTTTCTTTTTGTTAAACAGAAGGCTAATATAATTCATCTGCCTGGTACTGCATTCATCAATCAAAAAGTGTAACAGTACGATCAATCCTGAAATGTATTTCTTTTCACATGGAAAAAGATGTTCAGAATACTTGCACGTACATTATTCTCTAGATCCCTTTTCAAAAGTGCTTGGTAGGAGAGTCTGTGAAGAGACTTCTGGCTTCGGATGAAGTTCAGAGAGATTCTACTTTCTACCCCTTACTTTGTTTCTGAAGTCCAAGAGTAGAGAGGTACCCTGGTCTCCTCTGTTCATAAGGAGAGACAGTCACTAGCTTTTCAAAAATCCTCATAATGCATCCATTTAAAGAGTCCAAAGACTCGTGCCAACTTTTTCATGCCTTTTTTAAGCAATACATAATTGCATATTGCAATACATACTGTTTTTTTAAGCAATACATAACCAGAAGTGCTGTGTGCAGAGGAGCCCAATGATGGGCTATTTAATCTTAGCCCTACACAAGCTCAGAGCACCACAGAGGTGCAGTGCCAGGATATAAAAACCTCAAAAGAAACAAGCTAAGGGAGTATGCAGGGACAGTTAAAAACCCTTAGCGTTTTAATATACAATTAGGTGACTCAAGTATAGTACTAGCCTGTCCTGTTCATTAGACAGCAGCTGCTAACAAGAACGTGTCTTAATGCTTTTGGCTTTCATTGAGATTTATATAGAAAAATTCACAAAATATACTTTACTATCTTCCTTTTCTTTTATACATTATGTATTTTTTAAAAAATCTATCAACACAAAATATTTAAGTTTAGTTTATAAAAAAAGGTTCACAAAGGTTGTTTAAAACAGCACGTCCATTTCAGAGCAACCCAGAAGATTCTACGTAAAAGGAGGATGAGAACCAGGGATCAGTCACGCACAGGTAACAGGTTCACACTGATGAATGTGAATGTAGTGACCCATTTCAATTGACTGTTTACACCAAATTCCATCACGAAGTCAAGCATTGGCTGCTGCTTGTCAGAAACAAACAGTTTAAGAATAACATTGAATCCTGGCTTAGTTAGCAAAGTGTCCGTACATTCTGAGTGGTCTTCAGCTCTTCATCTGGGGCTACACTCCTCATGCGTTGATCACTAGTCATTAGCTGTAAAAATATTCATCATCTTACAGCTTCAAGTTCTTTATAAAAATAACTTTTTCAGAGTCCTTTACAAAATTTTTGCTGGTTCTTCCCTTCTGTAGATGACATGGTAAGACAGCGGGGAGATACTCATGGCTCCGCTTTTAATGTCCTCTTCCTATTTTAAGAGGAAAGAAAAAATACACCAAACAGTTCACATCTTAGTTGCAGTTAAAGCAGATTAGTTATGTACGTAACACTGAATGAGCTGATAGAATAAAATAATTTATCACTGTTATCTGTTCTCACAGCCCTTTCCAAATGCAAAAATCTAACATGTTCTTATACATACATCAACAAATGCAGAATACTGTGCTTTGGTTTAAGCTACTGGGATGCACCAAAACATTTAACGTAAACCCATAAATATCTACAATACATTAAAAATTACAACATTCTGTTTAGTGTTTATAAGCTTTAGAAATCACGAGCCATTCTTATTATTCAACACTAAAAACCACACACTCACCCCGAAAGCCTCCTCCTCCACCTCTGCCTCCTCTGAATCCTCCTCCTCCACCTCTGCCTCCTCTGAATCCTCCTCCTCCTCCTCCTCTTCCTCCACCTCGTCCTCCTCCAAATCCTCCTGCACGTAAGAAAGAAATTACCCTTGAAGAAGCATATAAATTCTTTATTATGCATAACAATTTATTTCACTGACAGCTTCTGAAAGGGAATGAACAACAACAAAAACCCAGAAACTGTCAGTTGCTGGACAGTTACCAGCTCAATTGTCTTTTCTAGGGACCATCTGCAGCACTTTAGGTATTGTTTGATATCTGATATACCATGTCCAAAATACTAAAGACACTAACAAAACTTCACAATTAACTTCTTTCACAAGAGCACAAAACTAATTACATATATTAACCGGTAATTGATTACAATTATTAATAATTATTATTTATTAGTTCAAACAAACAAACCAAACCACTTTGAAATACTTGTGCCTTGCTGCAGAGGGGCAGGGTAGGGTGAACAGGCAAGAAACTGTGATGTAAGAAAAAATGACCTCCAGCTTTAACTGCAGAGTCAGTACATGGCAGATGACGTCTCATCCTCAAAAAGCAGAGGATGAGATTCATCAGGTCATTCACCTCTCTCTCAAACACTGCATTTCAAGTATTTTCATACCCTGACTGGATTTTTAGAACATAAAGATATAAAGCTGTTAGACAGTGTCCAAAGGAGGGCAACGAAAACGGTGAAGGGCCTTGAGGGGAAGCCATATGAGAGCAGCTGAGGGCACTTGGTCTATTCAGCCTGGAGGAGACCTCATTGCAGGCTACAACTTCCTCAGAAAGAGAAGTGGAGGGGCAGGCACCTTCTGTGGTGACCAGTGACAGGACTCAAGGGGATCATCTGAAGCTATGTCAGGAGAGATTTAGGTTGGATAATAGAAAAAGGTTCTTCACGCAGAGGGTTGTTGGGCACTGGAACAGGCTCCCCAGGGAAGTGGCCACAGCACCAAGCCTGACAGAGGTCAAGCACTTGGACAACATTCTCAGGCACATTGTGTGATTCTTGGTGCTGTCCTGTGTAGGGTCAGGACTTTGATGATCCTTGTGGGTGCCTTCCAAAGCAGGATATTCTGTGATTCTATGACTCTAAACATACTAAAAGTATAGATTTCACTGACAGTTTTGAGTGTGCATTATCTACAACCTTTTACTGCAAGTTTGCTTAGTAGTCACACTTTCTGTCTTTGATATAAATCAGCGTTCTCTCCTCCCTATGCATTGGAGCTGTTATTTAGCCATTGGTCTTGCCATTGAAAAGATATCACTGTCTTTTCTATTGAGTCAAACAGAAACACGAGTAACATTTTTCTTTGCAATACAGCTGTTGATATTCAAGCACTCAACAGCAGCTTTAAAAAACAAAACAACACAAATACCCCACAAAACAAACAAACAAAACAAGCTATGCCACCCCAAATAACTCCAGCATTTCTTGGGATCTTACCTCTACCACCACCTCTTCCTCCCCCACGTCCACCACCACGTCCTCCCCTACCACCTCCTCTGGGAGCACCTTTTTCTCCAGGGGGCCTTGGCAAGAATCTCTGAAGAGGCAGTAGCTTTGCTGGATCAATGTAAAACTGCAGGAAGAGAGTTACATTAGGCTTTCAAAATACCAAGACCAGAAAGCACATTAAGATCTCCCTTTACAAATACCGACAATTTCTCTTACCCCTTCATGTCAAACTGTCCTCTGCAAATAGCCAAATACAGAAAGCACGCAAGAAATAAATCACAGTGTTAGAAAGTTACTAAAATATAGATATTTGTGTGATTTTCATTTGTTACATCTTTTCTTCTGGGGCAGGGAAGAGGAAGAACAAGATAGATACAAAACTGGAAAGGAGGAGGAAATAAAAGACTGTTTACAAAGGCCAATCAGCTTTCAAAGCTATTAAAAACTTCAAAAAGCTTTTATTATTTGCTGACATAAAATAGATTTATCTAACTGATGACATACAGTAAAATGCTGTTATTGAGATTGGCTCACCTTTTGCATTTTTTTAAATGAAGAAGCTTTCATGTTCTCAGACAGTTTCACTGAAAAATACTGTTAGTTTCTTTAAGGAGTACAGCAGTAATAAAACATTAGAAATTCTGAATTTGATTATTATGCAAAGGCATATTCAGACATTTTCTAAATTAGTATTTTATAAATTAAGCTAAAAATCATCACAATTGCAACTGAAAGATGAGGAGAAACTGTTATCAATTTCTCTCAAATTTTTGCATAGTTACAAATAGGTGTTTTGTGGTAAAGTAATTTTTTCCTTCCATGTATTAAGGCATAAGGAAGAACACAACAGTGCAAAGAGTAAAAACATAATTTTAAAAAAACAACTTAGCATAACAAGTGATGAACCCCTAAGCCCCAGGGTGACCTCAAGGCTTATCTAGAATAATTCACATGCTGCAGGGGCTCTTCTAATGCTGCTGCTGGATGCCTGACTGTGGGAAGGTAAGAGCCAGCAGGAACTGCTGGACCAACCACATGCCCAGCCTCATCCTACAGGGAACTGACAGACTCTCTGCAATCCCACAAGCACTCTTCTCCAAATCCTTTGGCTCTCCAATATGCAGGAACTTAGGGATGCAGTTCCCAAGATCAAAAAGAGCTGCTGGCCAACTCTGCTTAATTAAAAGTCAGGATTAAATGGGGAAGCAAGGAGCTGCAAAATCCAGCAACATACTTGCTTCATATGTTACTGTAGGAAGAAAACAAGTCTTTGCAATTCATGTAATTCTGATACAAAAAGTAAATCTGATAGTTAATACATTCAGAGCATGACAGTGCTTTAAAACCTGTATGTTTTACTTCACTTTTCATGTGGGAGAGGAAAATGCACGTAGCTAGTGACTGATGCTCAACAAACCAACACAGGCTAAGTCTTACTGCCACGTTACAGGGTTACTCCCCCAAGCATCCCACTTTTGTCATGGACTCTGTCAATCTGAACGGCCCCAGGGCCTGTGTCAACAAGCTTGCTTTGCCAGAGGACATCCCAGCACAAGCCCACTTTTAGTAATAAACTGGACAATGAGCAACACCACATCCTAGCAAAAACTCGCTTTATAATTAAATAACGAGCTGGAGTATGGCCAAGGTCCCTCTAATGCACACGGAAAAATCCCCATACCCTTGATCCAACTCTGTTAGGGGTGAGTAACCTATAGCGGAAAATTTTGTCAGTTAGCTAGGAAAAGTAATAACCTGAACCACCTTGGATCCAAAACCAGTAACCACCCATAACCCCAGTGCTGGTACAGAGTGAAAACCTCTGCCTGACTGAAAGAACTCTGTCATATCAAAAAGGCTTTAAGATGGGCACTTAATGTGAAGGAAGCACCTACTGACATCAACATTTGCAGCCAGACTTGTGTCTGTCCACATATAACTGGTAGCCAAGTCTTGAACTATTTTAAAATCCCACAGAAATCCCATTTAACATCCAATCCACTTTAAAAAAACCAAATGCTGCACATCACACGTTTTTTTGAAGGATACAAAATCTCTCAGCTGTCCAAAGATCTCATCCACTTTGCCAATCTGTTCTTTATTGTCCAAGTACACTGGTGCATTGAAATAAGGCACCTTGTTTTCTTCTGTTTTGCATTTGCAAACAATGTCGTCTTCACAGGGGTGCATGAACTCTCCCAACACTGAAATAGAGAACAAACAAGCTAAAGATTCGGACCAGTCATTCTAAATTGAACAAATACAATGCCTCCATGTAACTTACAAACTACCCTTTCGGGAGGGCCCTGGTCGTATCCGCCTCTGTTGAAGCCTCCTCTTCCGCCTCCCCGTCCAAAGCCACCTCGTCCGCCTCGATTAAAGCCACCTCTGTCACCACCGCCTCCTCCACGGCCGAAGCCTCCACCTCCTCTTCCTCCTCCACCTCCTCTGCCACGAAAAGACATCCTCTACTCCCTCCTAAATCGTGGACAAAAATCAGCTGTTTAAGAGGCAAAAGATATCTCGCATTTGTTTCGCTGTACAAACTCAAGTCTCCTCTCAGCCTTGTTTGTTAGTTTAGTGGTTGGTCCTTTCCAACGCTCACTGCAAACGTGCTATGGTTTTAGCCAGTGAAAAATCAAGTTTACAACTAAGATGTCATCCACTGCAACACCTACCTGCAAAAAGTGATTAGCCGTGATTAGCATGTTCTTCACTTATATGAGGGTTGAACGAGCCACTTTCCAGCCCCAGGAGAAAACTGTGCAGCTCTCCAGCCCCACAGAGGAGTGGCACAAAGTGAGAACATCACAAAATCACAGAATGGTTTGGCCTGGGGGGGACCTTCAAGATCATCCAGTTCCCAACCCCACCTTCCACTAGCCCACGTTGCTCAGGGTCCATCCAACCCGGCCTTGAACATATCCAGAGATGGGGCACCTACAGCTTCTCCGGGCAACACGTTCCAGTGCCTCACCACCCTCACAGCGAAGAATTTCTTCCCAATATCCCACCTAAACCTACCTGACTTCAGTTTACAGCCGTTTCCCCTTATCCCACCCCTACACGCCCTTGTAAAAAGCCCCTCTCCCTCCGTCCCTCCCCCAGCCGAGCGGCGCTACCGGGGTCGCCCCGGCCCTTCCCCTCGGCCCTCCTTAAACCCCGAGAGGTTCCCACGGGCCTGCAGCCGGGGCGCGGGGCCGCGCGGGTCCCTCCCGGGCGCCGTTCCCTGAGGAATGACGGACAGACACACGGACAGACGGACAGACGGACGGACGGACCGGGCCGTACCTGCACGTGCGCACCGCCCTCGCCGGGGAAACCGCCCGCGCTGCCGGAAACGGGGCTGCGGCCGTAAGTGAAACGGCACCGATCGAGCGACACTGTCGCAAGAGCCTCTGCCAAACCCTTGGAAAATTCTCAAGGCGAAGGGTGGAAAAGGAGCTTGGGACGCGGGTGAGCGTGGAGCGGGCACCGCACGGATAGGAGGGCTTTCCATGTGTACGTTGTACACAAAATCATCTGTCCTTCACAATGATAATAATAAATAATAAATACTACATAGTACACAATGCCTGCAATCAGGAGAAATCAGTGCAAGTGTTTCGATCAGACTCCTCTGGCCAAATAAAAGAAATGTGTCTCCTTAACAAGTGCTTCCTTTCAATCATTCACTTCAAGGGCTTTACTTCTGTTATCTCATCATGCTCTTACGATAAAACCAGTCAAGCCGGGGCGGGATCCTTTGGAGAGATCAGATTTATCAGTCAATAGTTGAGGCTCCTGTACTTTATTTCTAAGTGCACTTTAAAATATTTTACTAATGGTTAAAAATTAAACACAAATCTAACAGCTGATACTCTAAAGAATCCCAGCCAGAGGAATTTGACTACAAAGGTAGATAAAATTTCATCATGCGAGTGCTCCCAGTTTGCTTGGTTTTCTTGTCTCTCTTTTGTCTTTGTGGATCAGAGGTAAGATATGTTTTATTGTGGTACCAGTAATTTATTAAAAAGGTTTAAAAACAGTTTATTGTTACAAAAGCAAAAACTAGTTGATTTATTTTTTTTTTTTTAAGTTTCCTTTCATAGTCTTTGGGTTTCATACATTTGTTTTAGTCCAGCTTGAATGTTTGAAGCTTGCTGTTTCGCTTTCATGTATTGATTGTATCTGGGGCTTATGCTAACAGGCTTCTGGAAAAGATTTTAATCATGACCCTATCCTAAACCAATTTTGCAAGCATGGCTGGCCACATAAAGGTGCTGCTATTTCCCCTGCCTCCCCTCCTCTCCCCCCCTCCCCTTTTACTTGAGAAACAAGATTACAGTCTTGTCACAAGGCAGCGTGGTATATCCTACTGCCAGAAGGTTTGCTGAGGACTGTCTTCAGGCAGAAGCGTCCTGGAAAGCTGAGCTGAGCATTCAGCATGACCCAAGTATTTTAGAGAAATCCTGAGATAAAGATCAGCACCTGTTGTTCCTGTTCAGGAGAAACAACAAGCACAAATATGGGAGTTATGCCAAGTCGGATCTGTCTTGCACTTTGGATTCTACTGACCTGAGAACAGCAGGAAGAGTTTATTAAGATTATACAACCGTTAAAAGGAGGGTTGTTGGATTAAATTCTGCCCCTAACAACATCCTCACTGACTTTACTGTGGCCACGATTTCTTCATGAGAACTTTAAACTTCAGCTATATTGATTCAGTTGACACAGCCAAAGCTGATAAATCACATTTGAAGCCTAACTTTTCTCTCCTGATTTTACGCAGAGTCCATCCATATAAATTTTTCATGTCTCATCATTCAACCTACCCATAGATCTTAGTAAGCAAAAGCACTCGGCCAGCAATGAAGTCACAAGAGAGCTGCACAAATACAGTTGCAAAGCCACTCACCCAGAGGCTGTCAGAGGGAGGGTCAGAATCTGTGCTTGCAGTCCAGTGATGACCAGCAACCACACTGCAAACCCACTGCTGTGCCAGATACAGGGAAAAAACTGACAAGGAAGAGCATTTTATTTTCACATTTCTTTAAGATACTTGTTACTTGACCACTCACAGAGTAAAACAAATAATTAATTATACGTTTATTTGCTGCTAAATAGTTCATAAATATTTACAGGTGATACTTAAATCCAAGGTAAAACAAGCCAAAAAGTCTTAGAAAAAAACCAAATTTCTATTTTTTATATTTCTCTGGTGTTTAAGTCCTCCTATGTTTTGATCTGCTTATAGTCCCATTGCTGGGATGTGTTATAAACCAATGGCTTAAAAAATGTTTATAATCAGCTATGCACTTCAGCTGACGTTTGAAGAGAAAAGGGTATAAAGTTTGTGGGAGACCAGTAAGAGAGAAGATCACACCAGGTAAATGATCTGAAAAGAAAAAAACTGTTCAGAGAAACTGAGAAAGATGAGGTGGCCAAAGACAAAGAGGATAAACACTATAAATGATATTTAGCAACTTTGTCGTTGTTAGACAGGAAAAGGCTTATGAATGTACACTTTGTTGAGTGATCTGCAAAACTCTTGGCACAGTCCCTAATCTTACTCCCTTTTAAGTTTACTTTTTTTTTGTGCCTTGCAGAATGCAACATCTAATGCTGAAGAAAACCAGTTTCAGCAGGTTAAACCCACCCAGCCAGCTGAGCAAGACATGTACCTCATACGAGAATGCTTAAGCAACCAATACACCCACAAGTCCTGTAAGAAAGTTTTTTGTCAGCCATGGGAACGATGTGTGGAGGGAAAATGCCTCTGTAAGCTTCCCTACCAATGCCCAAGGAATGGCTCTTCAGTTTGTTCTACCCGTGGAAGGAACTTCCTCACTTACTGTCAGCTAAAGAGCTATGAGTGTCTGCATCCCGAAGCAAAGTTTCGGCACAAGGGAAAATGCATGCCTGCAGGTATTAACACCTCCTTTTCCAAAATTTATCAAACACTGTCGATTAAGGAGATGCTTGCTATTTACAGCTCAGAAAGTCTGTTCATTTTCTTGCACTAGCAACAACATGAAACGGAAAATGAAAAGTCATTGAAAATGGGCAGTATCTGTTGATTTTCATAAAAAATAAAGTGGTTGACAGGTCCTGGTCACCCTGCTGCTGGTTGGTTGCTCAAACCATCAGGTAGAAAGGGAAGAAATAGACACAGGAAAGAGCCCAAAGGTTTCTAGGCAGGGTGTTGACTATGGTGGGAGGCAGCAGGAGAGGGCCTGATGTGAACATTAGCAGAGAGGGTATCTTTTGAGAGGGACACACCTCACAGGACTAAGTGTCCAAGGAATGGAGTCAAGCTGCTGAGGTGTGTGTGGGAGTGTATGGGGGAAGGTAAGCCACATTCACCTCGGCCATCTTCACGCTGTGGATTCCATCGAGACAGAAAGCTGTTGTCCCTCAAACCAGCGACAGTTTGTGCGCTGACATGAAGTTGTTTGTTCTCACCTGCTTTTTATGCTGCACCAAGCTGCTTTGTTGGCTCAATACCTGTCTGAGTGCAGGGGCAAATGGCTGCTGTAAACTGGGCAGGTATCTCTTTTAGCAGAGGCAGATACAGTTCCTGCCTATCCTCCAGCCCCACCTCCACGAAACGTAGCAGGAGTAGCAAGCCAGGCCTAGTACTGTCCCAATACCATCACACCCTTTCCTCAGAGAAGCAGCAGCTCAGCCCATCACCTTCCAGGTGGCAAAATTCAGTTCTGTCTATTCCACTGAAATGGTCTGGAGAACCTCCATGTGATCCTGGTGCGCTCTCTGTATGGCTTCACTTTTTTAAGCTGAGGACTTTAGCTCCACTGCACACAGCAGATGTTTTGAAACACAGGTAGTAAAAGCAGGATCTGGCCATCTCACTTCAAGTGTTACTGGTTGGTTATCAAAAGTTCCCTAAAAAAGGTCTAATTTTATATTAAAATGAAGCCTGTCCTCAGCAGACCTCCAGGTACTCTTATGTGTCCATTATCCTCATTTGTCCTTAAACTGGTATATTTTGAAAAAGTAGCAGGCTCAAAGACACAAAGTCAATCCTCAGAAAATTTGCAAATAATACCTGAAGCTTCTGATTCCCAATCTACTGTTCTTTCCATATGAACCTTGGCTGTAAGTACAAAATAAGTCCCGATTTGGTTTTGTGCTGTCTTTCCACTAGATACTTCTATATAATACGATATTGCTTGGGGATTTTTTTTTTAGAAACATTTTTAGTCTCTCTGTATGATGGACATTCAAACTTGCTTCAAGTAAAACCTGTTAATCAAGAGGACAACAGTTTTGTATGTGCTACTGAGTGGACTATGAACGAAGCAAACGTGGCTTGCAAGGACCTTGGCTTTGAATTGTAAGTCTGGGGAATTTATCTCTGGATAACTGCAAGGGATCTGAAAATGTAGTGATGCTTACAGAATTGTCAGTCACATGCAGCCAGCAGTTAAGACAGAAAATGAGCAATGTATTGGCTCCAATATTCTAATAAGATTTCTTAAACTGACATCTCAGAGTGAAAGAAAAACACAGATTTCTGTGTTGTATTACAGGTTACAACTGTAGAAACCATAACTGGTTTACTTTTAAATAAAGCTGAAGACCAACGTGGAGGTGTTCTCTCAGGTCTGTGTAAGGGAAAGTGCATGGATCCCCAAGTAGCTCTGAGCAGTGATCTCTCTGCAGAGAACATGGTTTTTTTCCCTTCACCCCTCGCCCCGCTGCTACTGCTTGCTTTGGCCCCAGGTAGGGCTGAAGCCATGCACAGCTTATTCTTTTTCCTGTGAATATACTGATGACCCGAGTTGCGTATTCAGCTCCTTATAAAGAGTCAATTCTATATCCTGTAAAACTAATTTAATTTAGTCAGGTAGAGCTGCCTCCCCAACCCACTCAAACACTAAAAATGCTATTGAAATGCCCTAAATTGTCTGCTTTAGGTGAGAAGCAAGTATTTCCTAGTCCTGATTAGTATCTCTTTAGATAGCAGAGAAGTGTTTGCCCTGGGACAGAGCATTCAACCCTGGAGTCCTATTGAAAGCGTCTCAAGTTACCTATTTACTCAATCCATATTTCTGTAAGGAGGGGTGAACATACACTCTTGGGAGGATACTGCTCAGGTGAAACCAAGAAAGAGAAAATTTATTAATCCCAGCCTTGCAGTGGCATAAGCTTCCTTAAAATGCACTGGGTTTGATGATTCCATGCAGGATGGTTTCCAATCTATGGCTCCACTGTGTCCACACAGAGATAGAGAGCTGAGCTTACAACTTTTGCTACATAAGGAGACTTTTCTATCCATCATGATACACAGTGACTGTCATAGAGCTACATGTGCATTTGGGAACAGTTCTATGCAGCAACCTGCAGAAATTAGCGCTTTACTTTTTCTTCCAAAACAAACATTTCCTATTTACCTCTAGACAACTCCATGGGAAATATGGTCTTTTTCTTAGGCATGACCAAAATTCTTTAACAAAGAGGAAAATAACATGAATTCTAAACAATATCAGCAGTGGACAATCCATTGTGACATTATATAATTTGTTGTTATTATTATTTGTATCTCCACAGAGGTGCTGAATATTACCAAGCCACTTCCAGCATCACAGAATCTGCCTTAAATTCATTGCACTGTCTGCAAATAACTTGCAGGGGCCTAGAGACAAGTCTTGCTGAATGTCACATAGAGATGAAATCAAGAGATAATAATGAGGGACTTGTTAGCCTCCAGTGCCATGAAAATCTCAGAGGTTAGTAGTGGTTTTAGTTTAATATCTTTGTGAAGTCCTTCCATTTTGAGTTTATTTTATACAATGAGAACCCAGTTTGCTGAATTCTCAGCCACAGCAAACCTGCACTGAAAACTTTTGATTTATTTTTTTTTAATAATAATTTTGCAGTCTTTAAGACAATTGAGGCAATCTTGAGTCAAGATAGTCTTGAGTTTATGAGTTTGGAAAATCACTGTTGCTCCTTAAATATTTTTAAAGGTATTTCACCCATGGTTCTCTTT